CTCTCTCGTCAGCTTCTCTCTGTGCCTCTGTTGCCTCCCCGCTCTGAGCGGACTCTCCCTGAGCTGGGCAGGCTCTGGCCATCCTCTCCTCCTGAGGGCATAGTGCTCAGTTCAGTTGACCAGTAGAGACTGGTACTCAGGTCCTGAATTCCCAGAGAAGAAAGTGGCCTCTCTGGTCCATTTAGTCCGGCCTGGGAGGCATGGTCCACGCCTTCAGGGGCCTTCCCAGAGTTGGGCAGGGTTCTCAGGGAGGGGCCTGGGCTGGGCTGACCCCCTGATGAGAGTCTGGTCCGTGTCCAGGAGTAAGGGCTTGACCAGGCCTCAGGGACTGCAAGTGGATGGGCAAGGGTTCCTCTGGGCCCTGGAAAGGATGTTCCGTCTGCTTGGTCCTCCTGTTTCTTAGCATGTGAACTATAAGTTGTCTGAGAGTCACTGCCCATAAATCAGGCTGTTTTGTCAGTGGTGAGACATGCAGGAGTCAGATTGGAAACAAGCGTCTGTCTTGCCAGCTCAGGCTGCCTATAGGAAGCATGATGGTAGCGGGCATTGGCTGTCACACTTTGTCTTTGAGTGGGCTGGACCCAGGTGGGGGGCGGGCAGGCAGGTCAGGCCTGTTGGAGGAGGAGCCCCATGCAGACCCCTGGACTCAGCCTGGCTCCCCTAGGGGCCTGGAGCCCACAGCTGGGAATCCCCTTCCCAGCTAAGGAGGCCTGTGGCTTCACAAAGCACAGTGCTGTTCTTTCTTTAACATCTGAAGTTGATTGTTTTAGGGAAGAACGATAGGTATAAATGAATGGAACTGTGGGATTCGATCAGCACTGACAGTAACTAACAGCCTTGGTGAGTGCTTGCTCTGTGCCTGGCCCGGCCCGAGCGCTTCCCGTGCGTGTTCTCGTCCACTCCTCACCTAGACTCTCGACGGAGGCCCAAGCCCTGGTGTTCACTGGCGAGGGTTTGGACCCCCCAGTCCTGCTGTTGATGGAAATTATGTCACCTCTCTTTCCCAGGAATCAGAGTAGCCTCTACCTCATGGGGTTGTTGTGAAGGTCAAGTGAGCTAAAAATGTCGTGTTTACCCCACGCCTCACACAGCATTAGCACCCCTGTTTGCATTGTGGGCGTGGGGGGCGGGGGCCCGAGTGTGCCACCAAAGGGCGCTGGAGAGATGGGCAGAGTTGGCGGTGGCCTTCAGATGGGAAGTAGGGAGTGAGCAGGTGGTGGTCACGGAAGAGGGTCTGAGAACCGTGGCCCTTGGGTTGAAGGGCTGCAGGGCTTGGGATTGTACGGTGCTCAGGCCAGTGGGGAGAGCCACGGCCTCGAGCTTGGGGAGCCCCTCAGAGTGCCGGGCACACCCTAAAGGCCGAAAAGGCCACCTCCGCCTGGAATTGCAGCACGCTGAATCCGCCCCAGGAGGGTCAGGCTGGCTGTGTCCCACTCGTCTCCCCGTGGTGACTCTCTCAGGCTTGGACTGAGTCCCTTCATTCGGATGGATGAACAGTTTCCGGGCGTCAGGCTGGTCGGTTCTGGCGCTGCACAGCCTGGCTGAGTTGGTCCGACCCCCAGTCCACGGGAGCTGGTTTGTCTGTCTGAGACAGCCCCAGCAGCGTGACCCCCTTACACTACCTTTGAGCTCTTCAGTTTCTGGATTCCTCACCTGGAAGTCTCTGGGCTTTCCCGGGGGTTTCCGCTGTGGGGTCGCACCCACTTGATTCCTAGGAGGCCTTGCCTCTGTTCCCGCAGCTGGTTCCTCTCCCCCCAGGCCTGTCTCTTCTGCCCTGGAAATTCTTGAAGTTTTTTTGCTTATTAATAACCTTTGTCTGTTGTCATGTGCTAATACAATTTGTTTTAGTATTTTAATGTTTCTTTATTTCAAAGGGATGTGGAAGTGGGGAGTTAAACGTGTGAGTTCAGGTCACCATCATGGGACAGAGCTGGTGCTGCTGCATTCACTGTGGTTAATTTACATGCTGTCAAATCTGCCCACTCCAGGTTCTGTGACTTAGTGAGTGTGCGGAGCTGTGTAGCTGTCTCCATGTCCAGTTTTAGCACGTTTCCAACGCCTCAGAAAAATCCCTTGTGCTCATTGCAGTCAGTCCTGCCTCCACCCCCAGCCTCCCATGACATGCTCCTTGTCTCTGAGTTTGCCCTTTCTGGACATTTCATAAAAATGCCTCCTGCAGTTCAGTCCTTTGTGTGTGACTTCTTTCACTTTGCGTAATGTTTTTGTGGTTTATTCATGTCATACTTTGTATCCGTGTTTCATTTCTTTTTATTGTTGGGTAGTATTCCACCGTATGGCTAGATGACATCGCTTATCCAGTCGCCAGTCCCTGGGCGTTTCAGTGGTTTCCAGCTTTTGTCTAAGATGAATAAATTCATATACATATCTTTGTGTGGACATATGTTTTCACTTCTTTAAAGGTAGTTACCTAGGCTTAGAATTGCTGGGTCATTTGGTAAGTTTATGTTTAACTTTTTAAGAAACTGCCAGATATTTTCCAAAGTTGCTGTGCCTCTTGCCTTCCTACCCGCAGTGTCTGAGGGGTTCATTTCTCCGCATCTTGCCGGCCTTGGTGTTGCCATCCTAGTGGGTGTGAAGCCATATCTCATGGTCTTTCTGATTTGTGTCTTCCCCATGGCATTTCCCTTACTAGCTATTCATGTGTCTTCTTTTCTAAATATTTCTTCAAATCTTTCGAGTGACTGCTTTACAAACCTTCCTCAGCCATGGATTC